AAAAAAAAAATATATATATATCAAACTAGAACCCAGTGACAAAATGCAAACAAAGCAATTGAAAAATGGACAAAAGACTTAGATACTTCACCAAGGAAGATATAAAGAATGGCCAATAAACATATGAAAAAGTTTATTTTGTTTAAACAACAAAAATGTTGTTTCCCCAATATCATTAGCTGTTGTTGTTAAATGCTATCTAGTGGGTTCCGACTCATAGCGTGCCTGTATAGGGTTTCCGAGCAGTGGATGGTGAGTTGAAAAGCCAACCTTGCAGTTCAAACTGACCTTGTGGTCCAATGCATTATCCTGTAGCACAGGGAAAACCAAATTAAAATGCACTGTGCTGCTACTATGCACTCTTTATAAGGGCTAAAATGAGTAATTTTAGCTGATCAGGCTGTGGAGCAACTGAACTCTCATACAGTGCTGGTAGGAGTGTAAAATAACATAATCAATCACTTTTGGAAAAAACAGACGTTGGCAGTTTCTTTCTTATAAACTGGTCAGACAGGCCACCTGATCCCATTTCTGGGTTCCTGTGCAGTCTTGGTCAATATTAAACCTGCTGCCTACATTTCATGAAGGGACATCATATTCTAGAGGTGTAAAGACAATGTAATTTTTAACATGCATCTAACTAAAATAAGATCTCCTATCTGACATAGCTTTCTGCAGGAAGAGCTGTTTGGTTAAAGGCTAACTGATTGTTAAGTTACTTACTGTAAAGAACAAATATCATACAGTACCTAAGTTTTTGTTGTACTGAAGTTTTGGTAACTGGGCGATCAAAAACAGAAAGTTGACAATTGGGAAATAAGGTAAACGCTTTGTTGTTATGTATATCTGGGAAGAGAAAAGTCAGAAAAATGGATGGTTTCTTCACATTGTACAACACCACAGAACAGTTTCAAGCGTAAGGCTTCAATTTTATTTATTTCCATTTGCTCTTTAAACAGGCTATCTAAAACTATGATGGTTCCATTAATTTGCTGCCTTTGGGCTTTTATTTAACACTGACTCCCAAACATAAATACCTATATAACAATTAGCCCTTCTGGGAGAGGGATACATTTTGCTTAGAAATTCCTAAGAAATAACCCAACCCCACAGTCATCCAATTGATTCCGACTCCTAGCAATACTATAAAACAGAGTGGAACCGCCCCCTAGGGTTTCCAAGACTGAGATCTTTACTAAGGCAGACTGCCGCATCCTTTTCCTGGGGAGTGGCTCAGGGGTTCAAACCACCTACCAGGTAGTAGAACCACTGTGCCACTAGAGCTCCATGACTCCTCTTCATGCCATTAATACAGGTGAGAGGATGAAAAGGATGGAGGAATGAGAGAGGGACAGGGCAAGGGAGGCCGTGAGACAGACAAGGGAAAGAGGCATGGCTCGGGAGAACAGCCGCAGGAACTACACAGATACTGCATGTGTTTCCCCAGGACAATGTCAGCCACACACACATAGCCATTTCCACCTTCCCGGCTGCTCCGTGAATCCATGGAAGGTGGGGTTGCACCAGGGATCTTGATGGAATGGGGGCTCTGGGATCTGAGCCCAGCGAGTTGTTACTGGGGACAGAACACCTTTTGCTCCCCACAGTCTCCCTCCATTACATCTTTGTATACTTTAATCACCAACCTTGTTCAGTGGATTGTGAATGCCAGCGGCCTCCAGATAGGCTGTGATTTCATATAAGAGGGTGTTGTCTTCTTTGGGGTAGGGAAGTGAAGGGTCCTGATAGTGGGCTTCAATGTCTGCTAGCAGAGCCCTAATGCAGGAAAAGAAACCCCCAGTCATCAGTATTTGAGAGTACCAGACTTTCTACAAGTTTGTACAAGCCAACGGTGCCATTTTACAGTGTCTTTATCTGTAAAATGAGGACTTAGTTTTTCTTACTCCCCATTTCCATGCCTGTGGTTGGCTAGAAGGGGAGAGTTTGGCCATGAATTCCTTTATCTTCTAGATGCGTTGCTGTCAATTCCGGCTCCTGATGAGCGAACAGGGCAGAGTAGAACTGCCCCAGAAGGTTTCCAAAGTGGAATGTTAACAAAGCAGACCACCTCATTGTGGTCCCGCAGTGCTTGGCGGGCTCAAATCACCAACTTTTAGGTTAGTTAAGTGCTTAATCACTGCACCACCAGGGCTCCTTATCTTAATTTTTTAGGAGCTGACTAACCTGTTTTTAGAGTTCTGGTGTGGCGCTATAGGTTAATGTGCTAGACTGCAAGGTTGGTTTGAACCGCAAGGTCGGAGGTTCAAGCTCACTAACCGCTCCTTGGAAACCCTATACAGGGTTGCTATGAGTCGTAACTGACTTGACAACATTTAACAACAGCAACTTGTTTTCAATATCTAGTTTGTGAAAAGCACTGCCTTAACAGCCATAAAGCACGGACTACTGAATGAAACCAAACCACTCTGGTTCATTCCAACGCACAGTGAGCCAGCAGGACGGAGGGCTTCGGAGACTGTAAATCTTTATGACAGACAGCTTCACCTTTCTCCCATGGAGTAGTCCGTGGGTTTGAACCAGCTGACCTTTCAGTTTGCAGCTCAATGTCTAACCCACAACACAACTGTTGTTAAATGCTGCTGAGTTGGTTCCAACTCAATTCTACTCTGTATAGGGTTTCCAAGAAATGGTTGGTGGTTTTGAACTGCCAACCTTGTGGTTAGTGGTCCAGTGCTTATCCTACAGAGCCATACAAGAACCCTCTTTGTTGAATAGAAGGCTCAAAATGAGAGCCGGGTGCTGCTGAGGTGCAGGGCAGGACTATACTCTAGTGGTTATGAATCGGGCTGCAAACTGCAAGGTCAGTAGTTCGAAACTACCAGCTGCTCCACGGGAAAAAGATGAGGCGTTCTGCTCCCGTAAAGATTTACAGCCTCGGAAGCCCTGCTCATGGTTGCTATTGGCCAGAGCCGACTCCTCAGCACTTAACAACAACAACAACAACAACACTCTCCCGCTAGCACCCGTTTCTGGTGATTAACGCATTAGCACCACCTTCTGGACAATGAGCGGCTCAGTCCTCTAGAAAGCCCACATGGAGTTTAGTAGTAACTGCTTTCTTGATATAAGTAATGTATGTACTATATCATCAGTCTATATTGGCTGAATTAAAAAAAAAGGAAAAAGAAGAAAAGAAAACGAGACCAAAAAGTAATGACACAATGTGGAGGCAAAGAGACTTTCAAAGACTTTCAAAGACTTCCCTACAGAAAAGAAGCCTAGGAAATCGGAGAGACCTCTTAATAGCAAAGAGTTGGTCCTGAGATGCAGGCCCACAGATGGCGGCTTCAAACCCCGGTACTTACTTATTAAGATTCTCCAGAGCAGCTGCCAGATGTTTGGAGTCAAACCGACAAGAGTAATTTAATTCATTTGCGATCTGTTGTCTCAGGATCTGCATCTGCCCCACCTGTGAACCGGCACGAGAGAGACGAGCTTGCACACCATCATTTCACAGTGACAGCAAGAAGACAAGCTCCAAGAGGGGGTTTTCATTGGAAGGCCACAGCATTCTACAGAAAAAGTTAAAAGCTTCTTGGATTGTCTCCACTGGCCACTAAGATGGTCTTTAGAAAACACGAGATACTTCATTAAAGGTGTGCACAGACTCTTGTAAGCCAACTTCAGATAAGATCCCCCGTCTTGCAGTTTCCAGAGTGATCCACTACTGTTCAATTTACGCATGCAGGTCCTCTTTTGGGATTATAGGTTAGTGGTTGCTATGAGAGGCCCTGGTAGACTAGTGGTTAGGAGTTGGGCTGCCAACCTCAAGGTCAGCAGTTTGAAACTACCAGCCGTTCCGCAGGAGAAAGATGAGGCTTTTTGTTCCTGTAAAGATTTAAAGCCTCAGAAAAACCCTATGCAGGGTCACTGTAAGTCAGAATGGATTCCAGGGCACACCACCACCACCACCAGCATAGTGGGTTGGAATCCTGATGTGGTGCCACAGGGTAAGCACCTGACCTCCAGGTTGGTTTGAACCGAAAGGTCCGCTGCTCCTCAGAAACCCTATACAGGGTCGCTCTGAATCAGAACTGACTCCATGGTACACCCACCAACATGAGAAGCCCCACATTTTTCATTTGTCCTACACTGAGAGTTCTCAAGTCCAAGGAGGCCATTTCATTCTTGGACTCTAAAATTTGGTGCATAGAAACTTCACGATTATAGATTATGCACAAAATTGGATGATAAAATCGTTTGCATAGGCTCTAACAAGAATGAATAAACTCTAACAATCATGACTTCTTAATCTAGGCATTCTTTAACCTTTTTTAATACTCAGAACCCTTGGAAAATCTGGTGATGGGTATGGGCACTGTCTCAGAGTTGTGGTTTCTGAAGCTGTAAGTCTTTATGGGAGCAGAAAGCCTCATCTTTCTCCCATGGAGCAGCTAGTGGATTTGAACTGCTGACCTTGTGGTTAGCAGTCTAACACACAACCCACCATGCCACAAGGGCTCATTTGTCTCAGAGTAGTGCTTTTAAAAGTACAAAATAAAACAGGATAACCATGGGGACCAATCGTAAGAAAAATGATGATCAAAGTATTATAAAAATAAAACTGACTTATCCAGGTAAACTAACACGGCAGAGTTAATAACTACTGTACTTTCAAAGTACTGATGAGCTTCCATGAAATTCAGAGATACTGACAACAAGTGCTGGGTGAGAGGAAGCTGAGCAAGCACAGCTAGCTCCCCAGAGCCGTACTGCAACATAAAGTCAATACTAAAGTCTAAGTTTCTTTGCCAGCTTCTCTTCTGCTTTTCCATTCTGAGAAAGTTCCCTATAAAAGTGGTTGTTTGTAATGCTGTGAAATGAATACATCTCCTGAGCTATTGTTGGAGGTAGTTAAGAAAAAGAACAGGGCCTTTTCTAAGAGTGAATCTTTATGGAAAAGCTGTGATTTAGAAAAACTGAGCTTACAACAATGAAAAACTGTTCAAGTCAATAGAACCTTTGGGGAGGTGAGTTTATGTGAACAGGGAGAGGTACACCTTAGAGAATGAGAACAGCTGCACAACTCAAATCATGTCCTCACTGAATTCTACATGGAGAAGCTGTCGGATTGATGGATGTTTTGCTGTGTATATTCTCAACAAAATGAAATTTAAAATAAAAATGTTAAATGATCTTGCATGTCTGCATTTGATAATTCATTTCAGCTGGATTATCATTTTTTGAGAGTGCGATGGCTCTGTATGACAAACACTGGGCTGGGAACCACAAGGTCAGTGGTTTGAGCCCACCAGCCACTCCATGGGAGAAAGATGAAGCTTTCTGCTCCCACAAAGATGTCCAGCCTTGGAAGCCCTATCCAGGGTCTTTGTGAGTTGATACTGACTTGATGGCACTTAACAGCAATAGATCATTATTTTACTTTTATGTAACAAGTACAGTCAGTCCAAAAAACGTTCTTTATAAGAAAGCTTTTACTTATAGAAAAATGTATTATTTAAAAATGATAATATGGCAAGGCCAAAAATTTGCAGGTTCTTTCAGTCTACTCCACACTGCTCCTTAAACCTGGTAATTGGCCCCAAGAATTCCTTGCTGGATTCCTGATCTAGATAAACTATATCTAGGTTACTCTATGTCAGGGATTCCCTTGGAAATGTCAATCTAGAAATGGAAACAGAAATAAAGTCGGTTAAGTACAACTTGCTGTCACTGATTGTAGCACATCTTAGTGGTCACAGTGTTCTCTCTGGACACGCACTGACCGCACTTCTTTAATAAGCTACAGTGAGAGATCCGGGAGTCCCAAGATGAGAAACTCATTCTACCTAGATAGCTGCCTATTTGGAACTATTTGGCATATCACCCTTTCTTCCAGGATTTCTCGAGTTGTACCGGACAGTAGAGTTGACACCATTTACATTAGTTAAATGGATTAAAAGAACAAAAATTCCATTCTTCAGTCACGTTAGCTATGAATTTCAAGTGTTCAACAGCTACATGTGGCTAGGGGCAACCATTGTGCACAGCGAAGACTATTTCCACTGTTGGGGAAAGTTCTTCCGGACAGACTGCTCCAGATCACCATGGCTTCAATGATGGCAAGCTCCCCACTTGGATCTCAAAGACAAATGCATCCCTGGGCGCCTTAGGTAAAGGTCAGGAGCGTAGGCACAACTGCCGGCTACTTCTCAACCACCACCGATTGTCTGTAGACACCACTGGACTCTGGCCCACCCAGCAACAGGGACATGGCTGAGTCTCTCCGGAGAATCATGGTCATCTCCCTAGGCTCTTCAGTGATGAGACTTGGCCTATGGCAATGTGGGCCATTTGTGAGTCCTCCTAGAAGATTTTCTAGCAATTAGAAACTTGGCCAAATACAGTCTTAATATGATGAGGTTATGAAACGTCAAACCTATATAACAAGACGACACCAAGCAAAAAATTTCCTCCTTCAACAAGAGTCCAAAATTATCCAAAGGTTCTCTGGATCACTTATTCATGTGTTTGCTGTTGTTGTTGTTAAGTGCTGTCAAGTCAATTCTGACCCATAGCTACCCTGTGTAGGGTTTCCAAGGAGCTGCTAGTGAGCTTGAACCACCGACCTTGCAGATCTAATGACTTAGCAGTCTGACGCACTAACCCACAGTGCCACACCAGGACTCCTTGGGTTCAGTATTCAAAAAAATTTTTTTTTACTGAAATTATGGAAAATAGATTACACATTTGGCTGAGACACCAATGAATACAGTCGCAATCAAAAAAACATTTAATTGAGAACAAAAGAATGAACCTTCTCCAAATTCCTATAGCATTCCAGACTTTTCTTATGGTACATCGTACTTTTAACCACAAATCCATTTTCTACTAGAAAGTCCACTACTGGATTGTGAGTAGGCTTTCTGAAGATCTTGTTAGCTCTGTCTCCATAGCGACCAACGATGGTTTATACATAATGAGTGCTCAATAAACGCTTGTTGAATATCATGATAGCAGCTGATTAGAGAACGCCAAGCAGTGGGAACCGCTGCCACAGTGTAAAGGCAGGATGGTGGACAGTCAGATTCTAAAACACACTGGAGTTCCACCCACCAAATGGACCCTGCTTCTTCATCTTACTTATTTCCAAACATATGGTGTTCTGTTCCCAATGTAAAGATAGTAATTCATGGCCCAGAGAACTTGGCACTCTATAGCATCCATGCCAACATATAAGGGAAAAGACACAGAATGTTCTATTCGAAAAAGCCACTTAGAGAAGATAAGATCTGTAAACCGATAGATAAAAAATGTGAAATGAATTCATTATATAGGGATGCACTATTGCTGAGAGAGGGAATTTTTCACTTACTTATATGTAATCACCTCTTGCAAAAACTATTACAAAAAGAAACAACTTGTTGAGTAAAAATGCAAAGCAAAGGTCATGGTCAAGAGCAGTCTCAGGAGGGCAGATAAAGGAAGCAAACCAAATTAGAACTGATGGCAAGCTGAAGAGGTGTATTTCTGTTTTTGTCTTCATAACCAAGGAAGGAAGTATCGCTCTCTTGTGCACCAAAGTTCTATGACAATAATAATTTAAAACATACAACGTTGACCATCACACTCAAAAGTGGGGCCCCTTCCCCTTCCCTCACGTCATACCTTCATTATAGCCTCCAGATAAGCTGTCCAAATCTTCTGTGTTTTGGCAATGGCGGAAAAATAAATTTTATTGGAATTTGCTGAAAGGTTAAAAAAGAATTTTCTGTTTAGTAAATCTGGAAAGACTTTCAGTGTTCTCTCTACCTCAGACTCGTTTTAGGATACTTACCTACAATACTTTTCAGGGGGCTGACGGCATGCATGAGAGTTTTCAAAGTCTCTTGAACAATCCTGTCCCTCAGGATAATTTTTTGAAACATACTGAGGAAATTCTGGACACAAGTAGACATGATTAAAGAATCACACACTGTGAGTCAAAGGGATAAACACTGCAGTTCACTAAAACGCTGCACAGAACAGAGACTGTCCAAGTCACACGTCACGTCTATACACAGGTAGACAGAGGAAAGCAGTAAAGTCAGGTTCTTATGAGAAAAACCACCTGGCATCATAGAAAAAAGGTCCTCCTCAGTTAAAACCTACAAAAGCTAATTACCCATAGAAGTACTACACTGGCCCAAACAAAAATCTAGTTTAGTCTCAATTCTCATTTATGGAATATATACCAATGTTAGTAATAAGAATGCATGAAAGAAAAATTAAATGAGTTTGACTGCCCAGCCAGATCTATTCTCATCTCTTCCAGGGTAGCGAACGTCTGGGTCTCACCTGTAGCTCTTTCACAATCATAAAGCACAGAAGCCTATCTAACCCATTCAGACCAAAAGTCCCCAAGGTGGTCTGGATTTCTGAGAAGAGGCGGCTGCTGGTCACTTCTTGATGAGTTTTCATATCATACCAAGTGTTCAGCTGGTCAAAGTGACAGGTCATTCTAAAACAAAAAGACAGTAAATGAAAAACCCCAGAGCTGTTCAGAATTTACCCTAAAGAGATGTGGGAATCATTAAGATTTGGGGCATTAATTAAGAAGTGTAACACACATGGGATTTGTGTTTTCTAACTTCTATATCTATGTACCGAATGTGTCTTCATGGTGTTAGACCAATGGGCCAGTATGGTAAGATTTAATTAAATCACTCTCCTAGCCCATATTGTCAGGAGGGACCAGTTTCTGGAGAAGGATATCATGTTTGGTAAGGTGGAGGGTCAGAGAAAAAGAGGAAGACCTCCAATGTGATGGATTGGCCAAGTGGCAGCATCGATGGACTCAAGTGTGACAACAGTAGTGAGGCTGGCCCAGGATCGGGCAGTGTTTTGTTTTGCTGTGCATAATAAGGTCGCTATGGGTCGGTACCAACTCGATGGCACCTAACAACAACAACAAAAATTCTAACCTACTGTTGGAATGATATACTTCCACTGAGTTGAGCTGCTGTTTTGAGTCATGTTGACAGGCAAGGTGAAGCCTGGTCACCAAGCTGGGAGGACTTTAGAGTCCAGTTGTTTCCCTAGTGGATGTTCTTTAAATTTCCAGAGACAAACCAGAGCCTGTGGTCACTGCCCATTGGTAGAGGAAGGGACTTGGAATCCTTACTATGATAACATTTTGTTGTTGTTGTTAAGTATCATTGAGTCGGTTCTGGCTCATAGTGACTCTGTATAGGGTTTCCAAGGAGCGGCTGATGAGTTTGAACTGCTGACTTTGTGGTTCCAACTAACCTTGCAGCCAGTGTTTTAACCTGCAGCGCCACACCAGGTCATAACACAGGCTGTGACAGAAACCCAACGACGCATGTACAGCTGGAGAGATGCATGCACAGCTGGAGAGAGAAAGGGTCATTCTACCAAATGTTCCATTCAGTGAGCATGTGCCCAGGAAAGAACACGAGACAGAACACATGAACTCTCTAGTCCCTAAGTTGGTCTTAGTACCAACTGCTTCATTTGAGGCTCAACTGAAGAGCCCGGAGGGAAAACACGCTCTGTCGGACTTAGCGAGAGAGGCAGCATGACAGTCTCTCTCCAACATGGCATCCACCTGGAATGTTCTCAACAGGAGCTTTCCCTATATGAGCGTTTCTGCTGTTAGAACCCGTGAGGCCCAAATATCAACTGGGATTCTCAACATGTCAGAGCCATGGACTGTGGAGCTGCCACTTGTTAACTGTGTGGTCTTTGGGAAGTGACTTAGCTTTCTGTTCCTCAGTCGGTTCAACTTTAAAATGAGAATAAAATAATAATGTCTGCCCGATGAGACTGCTGTAAAGGAAGAGTGTGTGATAAGTGCTCAATGCTATTGTTAAAAGAGCTCATGTGTTGGGCTAAGGAACAAGGGGGTAAACGTAAAAGGTCAGGATTGCCAGTGAGTTAATTTCAACCATTACCAACTATGTGGAGTAGAACTTCCCAATGGCGTTTCTAAGGCTGCAAACCTTCATGGAGTCAGACTGCCACATATTTCTCCCATGGAAGGTTCTCCCTTGGTGGGTTCAAACTGCTAACCTTTCGGTCAGCAGCAGAGCACATTAACCACTGTGCCACCAGGCCTCCTTTATGAATGGACAATGCAAGATCCAGTGATGAGCTTGAGGGCAATGTGCCAGTCACACAAGGTATCATAATATAAAGTTTTAATACACTGGTGCGTCCACAGGACCAAGTGAGAAGAACGTTAGTTCTAAGGCAAGCGTTGCAAAGACTAAAGGGTGGCCAAAGAGTCTTTAAGCTTGTTTCCACCCTTGTGTCATTGGATGGGGGCTTCCTTAGTTACATGGGGGAAAGCAGTCTCAAAGAGAGTGAATTTTAAGAAACTTATTAGCAGAGATCAACTTAGGCCAAAATAGGGGTGTGATCTGAGGAGTCCTTCTGTGGCGCTGGAAGAGAAGCACTGGACTACTAATTGCAAGGTTAGTGGTTCAAAACCACCACCAGCTCCTCGGAAACCATCTACAGGGTTGCTATGAATTGGAACCGACTTGATGGTACTTAACAACACAAGTTTGGAGACTTCGACTGTCCAGGTGTGGTCTTCTGATGACACCTACTTTGGGTCTGTGATCCGCAAGATTTCTCTGCAGAGTCGACCGATAAACGTCGCGGACTCATCCACGGGGGCAAACTTTGGTATTGGAATATGAGTGGACTGGTACATACTTTGCCAGTCTTGAATCTAGAAAATGAAACCATAAATATTTAGTATCTCTCAGTTATCCTTTGCCCACATGCTCTGACAGTTAATATTGCATGAAGAGTAATAATACATGGTCACTGGTTCTGAAGACGAACATTAAAAAAAAAATTTACTAATAGTCACCCAGAATGCCACATTAGACAATTATGATTAAAAAAAAAAAAGAGAGAGAGAGAGAGAGAGAGAGAGAGAAACATCTGTGAAACAGTGAAGTGACTGAAGAGAACTGTGAAGAGATTTTGGAATGTGTGGCTTTTGTCTTAGGCAATGGCATTGTCAGTGTAATATGAAACTCCTCTCTTAAGACACCTGTATCATGGCAACATCACTGAAACACCTGCAGAACGGCTCCTTGTTAACAAGTGATGAAAATCTGTTTCTCAGCTCTAGCACTGGGGAATCCTGAGGCTAAACTGCTCTCTGTGATTTTCTCTGCGTGGTTCTATTCTATTCTGGCCAGCAGTGCTCAGTGGTCCCCAGCAAAGCCTTGTGTTTTCCCAGCACACTCTGATCCTGTCACCTCCACGCCTTCATCTCCCCTACCACTGAAACCCATGGCGGTCCAGCTGGAGTGCTGCCTCATACATGAAACTTCCCCTATCAAACCCAAATACAGAAGTCCTGAGTCTTCTGAACTCTTGACCACTTGGATTCTAACAGTTCCACGTACAGCTTCATTTTGTAGCCATTTGAGTATGTATGGACTTCTGGTGTGGCACTGTAGGTTCAGCACTAGACTGCAAACCACAAGGTTGGCAGTTCAAACCCACCAGCTGCTTCTTGGAAACCCTACTCGGGTCATTACGAGTCAGAATTGACTTGACGGCACTTAACAACAACAACAACTTCCTCCTTAAGGAACCCTGGTAGCAAAGTGGTTAAGCACTTGGCTGCTAACCATCCAGTAGCTTCATGGGAGAACAAAACCTAGTGATCTGCTTCCATAACCACTATAGTCCAGGTCACCCCATGGGGCACTTCTACTCTGTCATACAGAGTTGTTATGAATTGGAATCGACTCAGTGACAGTAATATCAGCTCCTTTTTCAGGACACCAAGCTCCCGAGGTCAGGAGCCATGTCAACCTTTCTGCATTCCAAGAGTATTCATAACTGTCTACTGCTTACTGATTTTTAGGAGCTACTTAAATAACTTTCTTGTTGATATCTCTGAAGATTGAAGGCTGCATTTTACTTGTCAAAAACAAACACATATGGTTAGGAATTAAAAAGAAAAAAATTATTTAGATACCTTTGTTCTTAAGAAGTTATTGCACTCTTGTTCCACGTTATAATTGATAATACGAGATACTTCTTCCTGCCAAATCTTTAGACCATAAATGTTGACATAGTCCTGTATGTATTCAAAAGAACGATGGAACCCGTCCATGGTAGCCCCCAACTCCTTTAGCTTGGGCATCAAGTCACTTGGCTGCGCAAAGGGGAAAAGCAACTCTAGTACATTGGAGTACACTGTCAACCATAATTAGTTACAATAGGAACAAAGTGGCACTGTAGGATAAGCACTGGATTACTAACCACAAGGTCTACAGTTCAAGTCCGCCAGCTACCCTGATGGAGAAAGACAAGGCTTTCAGCTTCCATAAAGAATTACAGCCTTGGAAACCCTATATGGAGTCACGATGAGTAGGAACCAACTCAATGACACGTAACAAACAGTAACACAGAACTTAATTTAGACTTTAAATGAAACAGTCAGTCATTGTTTAAGAAGGTGAAGGGATACTCCTATTCTGCATCATAACTGATGTGAGACATTCAGCAAAACAACAGATTTCATTCATTTGGGCAGAAAACCACAAATAAGGAATGTAAGGAATGGTGTGAATTATTTCCCGGAAGACAATGGATGAATATATCTCATCTAAAGGCATTTATTTTAAGTTGGATTTTTTTTCACTTTTTACTATGAATTGACGGAAGGTTTACAAGCAAGATCATTAACTTTACATTCAACATATCATGCACTTTGCTTCATCTCAATGATTTCAGTTCCCTCCATGCGGTTCCCATTGGCATTCCACCCATCTTCCCATCCCTTCTCAACTTTGTCCTTAGGAAAATGCTGCTCTTTGGGTTTTGAATGCTTATCCTAAATTGGATTTCTTGAGGTAAAAAGTATTCTATGTATTAATTTCAGGGCTAATTATTTTCTTTTTCCTATGAAAAAAATGACCATGTTCCTAACAGATAAAGCAAAGTAAAAAAAATGAGAGTTTTAAAAGTTCTAATGTAAAACACTGCAGTTCTTTATTCTGTTGTGCACAGTCTGAGTCACTCTGAGTTAGAGCTGACCTGAAGGCACCTACAACAATGACAAACAGATATACACTTAATGAGGAAGAACTGAAGTTCTAGTCCATTCTGTACGCTGAGTGGGGAGAAAGGATGCGGTTATTTTGTTCATTTGGTACCTTGGCTCGAGGGTTGAAGATCAAACCCTTGTGAAGGGCAAAAGCAACACGTTTAACTAGCTCCTTCCTTATTCCATCTTCCAGCAACTGTTTCGGATCCACCTAAGTGCAAATCAAAGATACAGGGTGGTGAGGGAAAATCCACAATGGAACTTTCCTATCTTTAAATGATTTACCTTTAAATGTTCCTTCTCTGGCCACTTTGCCCATGGGCAACCTGGACAGAATTATTAAATCTGTCACCTTTTTTGGACTTGCTTTACCTTACTCAATTACATGATAATAATTTTTACAACAGAACTTTTCAGAGATGGGGTGGAGAGGCATCGTAAATTTTAAACTGCCTCATATTTTTATCATTTCATGAAAAGTAACAAGGCAGGAGGAGCTGATGGCATGGAAAACTGAAGTCAGGCATGTATTACTTCTCCAACAAGAAATTGACATCCACATGAGAACCGAGTTTAGGGCTGGACCACACTGTCGAGTAACAACTCTCTTGCCTTTCAGTGTTCCTGACCACTGTTAGGAACTAGGAAGATCAAACAGGAAGCATATCTAATACCTTACTTTGAAAGTTTTTTTTTCCCTACAGTGAGGAAACTTTATGTATTCTCAAAAGGATTGTAGATCCAGGAAACATCGAACACTTTTACCACACTTTTTTTGAATTCTCTGAGACTTCTTTCTTTAATTTGCAAAAAATCATTATTTTTAAAAACGCATATAGGAGGTAACTGATTGGTTTTATCTGGCTTTGCTGACCTTTAAACTTAATAACTGTAATAAAGGTACAAATGACTAAGCACTTGGCTGCTAACTGAAAGGTTGACGGTTGAAACCCACCCAGTTTCTTAATGGGAGAAGATCTGGGAATCTGCTCCTAAAAGATTACAGCCAAGAAAACGCCCATATCCTGTCATATGGGGTCACCATGAGTCAAAACGATTCAATGGTACCCAACAACGTTACTAACAGATCACACGGACTAGCATCAAAATTATTACCTTGATAATGCCAACCAAAGTTGTCTTCATCATTAAGATGCCTTCAGTAAAAATGGAAATTGCGTGCGTAAGCTTGGCAACCTTTAATGAAGATAAAGAGGTATAATGAAGTACTTCCGGCAAAGACTCTTCATTTCCACAGAAAGTTAAAATTGGCTAACAGTCCCTGAAGGGTCAAAGGGGACAGAAGTGAGTGTGCAGCTTCAAGACCCCTGTGGAGCATCTCCGAAAGAAATGAGGTGCTGGGTTTATCAGCAAGACCACGGCTGGATAGAAAGGGTAGCTGAACAAGAAGGCATTCTCTAGCTTGGAAACCTCTGACAAATCGTTTCCCCTTCTTGGGGCTCCGGTTTCTCTCATGCATGCAATGAGAGGGCAGGGCGCAATCCTAAGGACGGCCCCTTCCATCTAGAAGCGACACTGAGACTCTGAGGAGCTAACTGTTCCTTCACTGGCTCACACTCTTTCCAACAACACCAGGAACTATTACTAAGGCCGAGGCAGGCTAGACTTTTGAGTGCCGATAACTGTGGGAATAGTAACTAAATTCCTGATGTTCTCTGTTGAGTTGGGCCAGAGTGTGTGAAATGGACACTGGACATGCCTTTTCAATGTTCACTTGATGAGACTTCTCATTTTAAGTTCACAGACAGAGAAAAGCAGAGGTATTTGGGGAGAGCTGCCTCTGTGACAGTATAACTATCATGAGCTTCTAAGTCTGAGTGTTTGCTGTTGTTGTTGTTGTTAGGTGCAATCGAGTAGGAACCGACCCCCAGTGACCCTAGGCACAACAGAACGAAACACTGCCCAGTCTTGTGGTAACAGATTACCTTCAGACACTTGAATGTGTAAAGAAAAGAAGGGCTGATTTCCTAAAACTGCTCAAGGGGACTGTGACCAGCTGAGCTCAACTTCCACTGAGTGATCAGTGACATGAGACAACATAGAGAATAAAGGAGGGATGGTACACGAGCATGTGTAAGACAAATCCACATGGGTTCTGGGGTCATGGGGGCAGGGCGAGTCATGCATCAAAAAACAAGCAAAAATGATAGGAACACAGTACCTGGTATCGTGGACCAAGCTGGGCATAATCCCTCAGTTTGTCTTTGTCCAGGCGGGTAGGCACCTCAATGATATCGTGGGTCTGAAGCTTTATGATCTTCAGAAGAGAAGTAAACATGCTTTCTGGAATGATCTGCAAAACCTTTAATGAAAGGGGAAAGAGGAAAAACCACGACAGAACATCAATTTATTTTTCGCCTCTGGGTATTAAGAGTAAAGGGAAGGAATGCCGAGAAAGGCATGGCGCTGTCCAACATGCAGTAGGTCACCAGCTGCTTCTCGCAAACCCTATACAGGGTCGCTATAAGGTGGAACCGACTCGATGATACTTAACAACAACAATTATAATAACTGCTTTCAAACCCTACAAAGGGTCACTATGAGTTGGAACCAACTCCATGGCACTTAACAACAACAACAACCATGCCTATCTGTCAGACTTCTGGATGGAAGGATCATTAAGATGACTCAGAACGAGGCAACGTTTCTTTTTATTCTGCATGTGGTTGCCATGAGTTCAAGTCTATTTGACAGCAACTGACAAGCATCCACAGGTTGATGTCCCTTCAAACAAGAACAACTCACAGAGGCTGTAAAAAAGGTACCATTCCCACATTTACAGATTTTAAGAAGAAAGAAGTCTAGAGATGCTAAATAAAACTTCCTTAGATCACTCTTGGTAAATGACACCCCGAGATCTCAAACCCAGGCCTGTCTGATTTGCTGCGGCATCATCAATTAGTAAAACAAGGAATGAAATTCCCATGAAAATTTTAGGTTCTGAGTAGGACATGGAGTCCTGGTATGGCACTGTAAGAGAAGCACTGGACTGCTAACTGCACGGTTGGCAGTTCAAATCCACCAGCTGTCCCTCAGAAACCCTACCATGGGCTGCCAAAAGACCAAACAGATCTGTGTTGGAAGAAGTGCAGCCAGAGTGCTCCTTGGAGGCCAGGATGGCCATACTTCGTCTCTCATACTTGGACATATTGTCAGCAGGAACCAGTCGCTGGAGAAGATGTCAAGTTTGGTAAGATGGAGGGTCAGAGAAAAAGAGGAAGAACCCCTAGCGAGACGGATTGGCAAACTGGCAGCATCAATGGGCTCAAGCATGGCAACGATAGTGAGGTTGGCCCAGGACCGGGCAGTGCTTTGTTCTGCTGTGCATAGGGTTGCTATGAGTTAGTACCAACTCAATGCCACCTAACAACAACAACAATTGAGTAGGCACTGACTCCATGGCTCTTCACAGTAACAGGATACATTAAATCCAGAGCTGGCTCTTTGACCAATTAATTAGCTTTGTGATTTTGAAGAAGCCACTATAATCTCTGCTCTGCAATTTCCACATCTATCAACTGGAGCTTCATACCACCAGCATTCAAAACATTGTTGCTCTTACGTGCTGTCAAGTTGGTTCCACCTCATAACCTGTATAGGGTTCCCTAGGAGCGGCTGGTGGGTTTGAACCACTAACCTTGTGGTTCAAACTGACCTTGCGGTCCAGTGCTTTATCCCACAGCACCACACCTCTGGAAGTAAAAACACATCTGCAAACTCAAAGTTATCTGTAAGAGTAAGTTTATTTTCAGATACTGCACATTTAAATCAAATCAAATTAAGAAGAAGGAACCCAAACACGTCTCTTGCAATTTCAAACAACAGTTAGCAACTAAGTGAAGATTCATCTTAATCATTTCTTACCTTTCTCACATAGGACACCAATTCTCCCGAGTAATACTGAGACACGCTGAGAAGGTCAGGGCTATTTGCTTGGTTAATACGAAGAAGGGGCAGGTCAAGGGCAGAGGCCAGCTGGAAGACAAATCAGATCTCTGCTTCTTTATAAGTGTCCTAGACATCTCCCTCTTTCCAGAAATGGTAACACACAACCGAGTCCCTGGGCTATGCCCAACACGGAGCAACAACCACTGGATCTCATCAATATTGTGAATAGCTTCAGATTTTACTTCAAAGAACATTTAAAAAAATAAAAAATCATCTGCTATGGCAGTGGTTCTCATGTGGGCTTCAGGTCTGCTGTACCAGCATCACCTGGGGGCAGGGTAGGAAAGCAGTAAGAACTCTGGTGATTCCAACACAGGTTCAAGAGTCACTGTAATTTGAAAAAAACATGACTTCATGGGTATCAGACATTTCGATTGATGGGCTATTGTATTTTTAGACCACTCTAAGGTGCATTGAGTGTCAAAAATGTCAGTATTCTATGCCCCACTCAAATAGATTAAAAAACAAACATGCTGACAATTCTGATAAGCCATCAATGATAAAAACCTATCCCCAATGACAGAGAAAAGAAAATATGTGGGGAAAGTACATCTTGCAACAGAGAGTTCCTTCAGAAGACATTGAACACATGAGTTATTATTGGATACATTTATCACCATCTGAAACTACCTGAGAGCTTGGGCCACTAACTACTTCAATCTTAGAGCAAACCCTATCCTATAGGAGGGACTCAACAGGCATTGTGGGAAAACTTTAGACCATGAATCCAAATTCTATCCTAACAATCCAGAATGCTCAGCCTGAGAATTATGCTCTTTTAGAGATGATCGCCACCACACGTATGTCAGTTTGTGGTACTATGGTGGCTTGCGAGTAGCTGATTCTGAAAGCTATGCCACCAGTATTTTAAATACCAGCAGGGTCACCCATGGTGGACAGGTTTCAGATGAGCTTCCAGATGAAGACAGACTAGGAA